AGGCAGTGTCGGGTTTTTTTTTTTTTTTTTGCATCAAAATTTTTTTGATTTGCAAATTTGTATTTTGCAAATTTTGGGAGACATTGATTTTCCTCCCTGTGCTCCCCCGTTCTTCCCTGCGGAGTGCGCTGCGCCGCCCAGCCCTGTCGCCCCCAGGAGGTGATCCCTCCCTCCTGCCTGCCCGCCAGCCTGACCTGTGCCTGGCTCGCGGGCCGCCGCCCTGGCTCCGGGGCGGCCCCCGCGCTTGAGGAGCATAGAGACGCTACTGGAGGCGGCCCGCTTCCTGGAATGGCAAGCGCAGCAACAACAGAGAGCACGTGGTGAGCGGCCGGGCTGGGCCCCTGGGGCACCCGGGAAGGGGAGGCGACTGACCCGGGTCCCAGAGCCCACGGGAAGCCGCGGACAGGCCCCCTTCCCGGACGGCCTGCGAAACGGGACAGCGCATATCTTCCCGCAAGAGCCGCCGCCCGGGGAGGAGTGATGTGGGCAGTGAAATTAATGAGTTAATTAACATGCAAGGAGGGACCTGTCTCCTGCTGGCGCCACCCCAGCTGCCTGGCACCTCTGTGCACCTTCCGTGGGGGGCTTCTTTAGCTTGGGCCAGCGGCGCCTTCCGTAACGCTGAGAATGTGTGAGCCGGGGTGCGGGGTAAAGAACGGTGTTGGTAGGGGTGGCAGACCCGCGTGTGCGTGCGTGTGTGCACGGGGGACGTGTGATGTGAGCCTTGGGGAGAGCGGATGAACGGACGTGTACACGGGCTTGTGTATAGCACACGAGTGGGCGTGTGTGTAACGGAGTGGGGGTAGGGATTACTCTACGCCGAGCAGCTCTCTGGCTTCCCTGGCCGGGTGAGGAGGGTGCGGGGGGCGCTCCCGGCAGATCTACGCGCCGCTTGGGGCGGAGGCGGCCTTTGCAGAATGAAATGACATCGCGTGTCTTATGATCCTGGCCAGCCCCGCCTGACCCCGCCTCCCAGTGCTGGGCTGGGTCGCGCGTCAGGGCTTTGGGTGAGAGCCGGGCTGATTGGGTGTCTGCGAAACGGCCCGGGGGTCGCTGGGGGCAGCCTCCGAGCCCCCCTCGCAGCGTCCGCTTTAGCCTGTGTGGAATGTGGCGTGTCTGCGCGTTCCAAACCCGCTCTCGGCTGGAATGTTGCGTGTGCCTGCGTTCCAACCCCGTTGGTTACACCGGGTGGTGACGTGGATGGGCCCCGCCCCCGACCACGTGCACGGGGGACACTCCCGCTGGGGACGGCGCGGCCCGGCCCCTCCTCGCTGCCTCGCGCTCCGCCGGGGGCGGGGCCTGGGCGGGGCTGGCGAGGGGCCTTGCCCCGGGTTGGGTCTGGGCCCTGGCCGCTGGGCATCTCCCAGCGACAGCCTTTGCCCAGCGAAGGAGGAGCGGAGTTCACCTGTCGGCTCTCGCCCTAAACCTCCTGTTTTTAATACTGAGGCGAGGGAAACCCTTAGACATTTAGAGTTCACATCTTACCCCCTACAAGACATTCTCACCAGGCCCTCTTGGCAACACCCCTGGCCACACTATGGAATGAAACAGGATGAGAAAGGGCAAACTTGGGCTCCTCCTCGATAGGGAGGGAGAACAGATGAGGATTTTAATGCTTCTATCCCCACGCGCCCTTGTCGGTGGACCCTAGCTTCAGGGTGCTGCAGAAATAGGGGCCGGGTTAAAAGACCCCCGTTTTCCAAACTGCAGCGAGCACCTCAGCTCCTGACCTGAGTATGCGCAGTACCGGGGGACTCCTGTGTCCTCCCAGCCCCCCAGAACCCTTCAGCTGGGTGGAGAGAGTGCTTCGCCCTCCTTTCCTTTCTCTCTGCCTATTGTTGCTTCAATGATGAGTCATGCAGGAGGTAGTAGTGTGTGTTGTGTGCGCGCGCGCGCCTGCAGCGTGTACCG